CCCCCCCGCTTGACAACTCACTGACAGTGCTGGATTTATGCACCAATTTACCAGCTCGCGCGTGCAATGCGCAGCTACTTACCCCCCAATCATCGGTGAACGAAACTGTGGCAGCTACAACCAGTGTACGACCAGTACGCGGTTATTACAGCTGATAATGATGATGATGAGCGTGGGGTGAGATAGGTAGTTGAGCCGGGAGATGATATAATTGATGCGCAAATACAGGGTTATCAGTGGACTTTTAAGTGAGGAGATTGGGGAGGGAGCTGTGCATTGAAGGCAATAACTTGATGCATGAGCGTCAATGAGGGCACGAATGAGCCATGTTTGACAATGCCCCCAACCATTGATGTGTCTTGTCAAGGGGCCCTCATCCCGGGAGTTGGCAATGACCAGTGCAGCTGACTTTGTTGGAGATATTTCATAACCATTCAGCTGTAATACCCTTTGATGCCTAGCTGCCATGCAACCCGAAGGAACCAAGAGGGCTGGGATACTGCCAGGTTACCCAAGCCTGCACGGGAGAAGTCGAGATGCAGAGGTCGGTCTTTCCGGTCAATAAATTCCCGCTCCAACCACTGAGTCATCTCGCCCCCCTCCCATGCAGTAGGTTAGAAGCATATCCAATCCCTCTTCCTTTTTATTCTTTTTCACAATAGGGCCTTCAAGTAACTTACAGCTCCATATCAGTGGCGCATCGGTGTTCAGCCCTAATTGTATGCCGCAGATGACGATGGCGGAAATGCGCATGGAAAATAAGATTAATCGAAGCATACAGACAAGACATTTGTAAGGTAAGATATCTTTAGTTGCAGGTGGTTGTTACAATATCGGGATACATACTCTCCTTGTGGTTACGATTCCTAATACTCCTCCAAGGTTCATGAAGTGAGCATTGTTGACCATTTCTAACAGCTGAAAGAGCAGTGTATTACTTTTCAGCTTTTGAATACTCTAACTTTCGATATTTTTCCCCTATCCGCAAAGTAAGTGACCCGTCGATAGACTACTCACAAACCGAATGTGCCTTTACATGAGAAAGTGTCTGCCAACGAGCCAGTCAACACCAAGTCACATGACGCGGACTGGCCTCACTTCTCAATTAACTGCAAGTTCATCGCAATGCTGATAAGCCAACCACAACTCAACCGGGAGGCTCAGGGCTGGAACAATCACCTTGGAGATTCCCACTGAGGGAGAAACGTTTGTAATGTTGTGAGCCTTCAGCATGGGATAAAACCTCAAAAACCTCTCACCTACTAGTAAGAACAGAAATGAATCTTCCTGTTGTGGTGTACGCTTCATCATCATCATCAATGACAGCAACATCAGTGTTGGCACTGATGCTTCACTGCCGTGTACGCTTAGCGCAAAGCAAAACGCAAGCAATTTGGGTTAAGTTTGGCCCTAGACAGAAACAAGTGGAAGTTTGGGAGTAAGAGCAAGGAGGTTTGCCACATTGAGATATCTAAACAGTGAGTTCTCAGAGCCTTGAGGACAATATGGTGAAAAGCAATGATGATATTCTGATGGACACAAAGGGAGGAAAATAAGTTAGACAACCGTTCGGGGCGTATAACGTGTTGACTATTCCATTCAAATGATGAATAAAAAAGATTTCCGGTTTAATATTAAACCATATACCTCAGAGAGCTGTTTCTTGCTCTCGTTGACCATACGTTGCAGATCGGCCATTTGTTGAGCTTTCAATTTGACGGCAAGACGGTGTTGTTCATTAGCGCGTTTCTGAGCCTCCCGCTCACGGGCCTTTGCCTCCTGGAATGCGCGCATCCGAGCCTCATCTAGCTTGATACGCGATTCATAAATTAGGCGTTTTTCGTAGAGTTGCTGTTCTTTAGTGGCTTGAATGGAGCGGGAACGCTCGTTGGCGCGACCCAAAATGCTACTATTCCCATTCTGTGACTCACTGAGTTGTTGCGAAATCCTCTGAGCAGCCGGTTTGCCGCCTAACAGAAATGGGGAGGGCGAATGAGATTGGTTGATCTATTTGTTTCGTGATGGAACTAGATATAACGATACATCAAGACGCACAACAACCGAACTCACTTGTTCCGACTGATTTGGATGAAGAGCCCAATCCGACTGTGTTCAGTCTAGATGCACCTCCAAGCCTTTCTGATGAGGCAAACAGTCTGGCTTTGGCAGCAACACTGTGGTAATTGCCGAGAGAAGTCTGCTTCGGCTTCTGGTTAGCTGTCTCAAGAGCACAGCCTCGATGCGAAATGGCAGTGGCTGGTTTTGAGGCCGCGACATCTGAAACCAGAGGCACCAAGTGCTCCTCTTCCTGTGGTAACAGACTAGTGGATGTGGGAACCTCTTTCTCAGTCACAGGTTCTGCAACTTCAGGCCGCGATAAAGTTGCGGTGGCAAGACTAAGAGGTGGTATAGGGGATTTTTTTGAGCTGGAATCTGGCACAAGGTAAGTAACACTAGCTGGCTGCTGCGGAGAATGAGGAGGTGAACCTGGAATTTGGGATGTAGAATTCGATGGGGTCTCTTTTGCTAGGACTTCCGGAACCGGTGGGACTGTTGTTTCACTTGACTGAACAGTTAGCAAATCCTGGTCATCCGGTTCTTTAGGAGCGAATACGGCCACCTGATAGAGCAGAATGGAAATAAAACGGAAAACATGATTTCTTTGGTGAAAATATGGGCAACTAATAAATGCATGATATGACCATGCATGACCAATAAAACTGTAGAAAACTGGACGCAAACCAAGTCAAAACATCTATAGTTTCATTTTACATCTGAACATTTGCTTTCTAATAGTCGCATCGCGGATTCGCTGGCACCAGATGAACAGTATTTATTTACATTACCAGGGATATACCGCTTTATCACTGTAAGTGCTTAAAATTAGCAAACGCATTTAGAGTCATAGGAATTCGTGCACTGACCTCATGTGTCCCACTACAGTCGGAACTTACACAACTTCCAAGACACGTGAAACGTTCCACTAATTCGAGCGGCTCTCTTCGGATTGTAAGTGGCGTGTTAAGTGACTGTATGTTCAAGAAAGAAATTATTCAGCTGTCGCACCCTTTCTGTGGCTAACTGCCATGCCACCCAAAGGTTGCACGAGGGCTGAGATACTGTCAGGTTGCCCAAGCCTAGACAGGGGAAGTCGAGAGGCAGATGTCGGGTTCGAACCACGGACATTCCGGTCGGTAAATTCGCGCTTTAACCACTCGGGCCATCTCACCCAAGAACATGACCTTATCCTTTGTGAGTACAAAACGAATTACAAAGGACAGAATGGCTTCGGTCAATTAGTGTCTATTTTCCTTTCCGAAGACGACCGCGATGTCGTCTGCCATACTCCAGGTCGACAAGATTTTCGTCAGAGGCTATCTGAACATCAGAGTTTTCAAAGAGTTTCAAAGTCATAATGTCTCACTGGTCACGAAACCAAGTACAAGTGAATAGAGTGAGAGTGTGTGTGTGACAAATTCCACTTTGTGCCGAAATGCTTTTGGAGAGCTTCTCGGACACTGGCACACACCTCGAGGGATTAGGCCATTCCTTGTTATGCATGTAAAGGAGAACGGATCGGTCAACTGAGTCGGATGCGCTTTGGGAATCCATGACTAGAATTGCGGGTTGTTTTTAGTATGGTGTTGTTCCAGGCCGGAATCCCGCTTGCTGCTCCTGAGTCAATGATTCTTGTGCCTCCGTAGGGCGAAGGAGCACAAGTGACGATCGATCTTGTTATGGAAGGAGTCCAGTTGATTTCCTTGTGACTGTCGCAATCATCATGGGCCTTTTTTTCAAAAAAAAAAAAACGGACAGTATAACCCACTCCCCCAGTTGGCTGGAGCGGTCCCCACTTACAAGACGGAGGCAAACAGATCAAACAAACGCTGACTGGAAAGTTCACATCCATCCTTGAACAATGTATTTGGGGGCTCATCCGACGGCACTTGAGAGCAGATATGCTGTCATAAGCGTCCAAGGTCGTAGTGGCTATCAGGTTCACCGTCCATGGTCCTAGTGCAGTTTAACAATCGGGCAGAGTAGTAGCAGCTGGCTACGAAGGTAGTCATTCAAAGGCGGTCAATACGTCCTTTTTTGAAGATAATCGTGGCAGTGTGATCCTGAATGGTCTCGTTCACCGGCGGTTTCGGTAATCAATTGTACAGATCACCTGAAGTAATCTTCGGGCACTCCCGGTACTCTTAAACTCTTCCATTTCCTTAGCCTTTCGAGTCCACCAAGTTTCGCTGGGCTGAATTGCGTTCAGGTGTGGTAGGAGCATTTCTCCGATACTCAAGCAGCGTCATTGTTTCACGTGATGTTCAGTAGCTATGGGGACATGATAGAGCTGTGCCACAGGTGTGCCTCCGGGTCTTTAGCAAGGATGTGATGATCTCGCTCCTGGAAGAAATGACTTCCAGTGTTGAAGCAGCTGAAAGTGTCCAAAAGACAGTTCTGATATATCCATCTTAGGTTTGGTTACGTAATATGTACTCTGGTCGCAGCAAACATCCAGTACCATCAACTGTCGCGTATCGACCATGTGACATACACGCCAATAGTTGAACACCGAAATAATGGTTGTTTTCTGTGCCTCCAGAATAGTGCTGCCCGTGAAATGTACGTGTGACTTGGCAGAAGGATGAGGGAGGTCATGAATTGTTTGGATGTTTTTGGCCCACTACGTCTCATCACTATCATCGATAGCAATTCCGGTTTAACTACCGAATCTCGTACACAAACGGTGGACCAAAGTATTCGGCACCACCGCTAGCGGTTGATAAGATGGTTTGAACTGCCCTACACGCATCCTCATGAGCGGGACGGTTGTAACAAAGAGTTTTCCTATTTCAAACGTACCTATGCCAGTGAAACTATAACTAAACCGCCTCCTTGCATCATAGCTCTGAACCCACAAGTTACCTGTTAGTCAACCACGATTCGGAAGTTTGTCGTGCGTTGAATATAAAGAGCGTCAACTCAAAGAGGCCAGGTCTCACAAGCTTGCGTTGTTATGATTTGAGTTGTAGTGCGATACATGCCGCTGTGGGGTGAAGCCCCGTACAGCTTTTCCAGGGTCGCGTTCGTACGATTAAATCGTCTGGGCATTTGACGACATTTGAACTCTTATATTTTTATGAATCAGCTTTAGGGCTAAGCTCCCAATTGACGGAAGGCGAGCTAGCATGCGTATTCATAGTTGCCTCCACTGATCTGTGCACACCCTCGGCTCTTTCGTCAAAATGTCCGCGGAACAGCCTTCCGTTCCTTCGAAAACATTTTCAAGTCGAACTTTGGATGACCTACATTCGGCCACAAGATTAGCTGCAACGCGTCACTCCTACAGCACACTCGTCTGAAATTCTCAGGCAGTAATATTTGTTAAGGAAAGTGCCGTAAGCGCGACTACCGTAGCTAAGTTCGGGGACGCAACAACCTGGTTTCGTTTACCCGTCCTGCTGCACGCAGCATGTAGGGCAAACCGGTTTCCGGCATGAAACCATTGGTATTCGCAGTATGTGGTGTGTCAGCTGAGGTACTGCCAGGGCGCCAAGGCTACATAGGACGATTGAAGTTCTCCATTAACGCCTTCAGTGTGAGACTACCCGAGTAGTACATCGTTTAAGAAACATGTCACCACACATGTTCTAACCTTCTGGAGAACTGAGGGATCCTCAAATCCTACGAGATGCTAACACACATTAGCTCCAGCTGCTTATTCTGACCAGTGCGACAATCTTCTGTGGATACGGAGAAAACTATTTTCAAGTATGCCGAAATGTCTGCTCCCTTCATACTCGCCGCTTCTAAAACTTCTCACCCGGATACTGCATCTCCATCATCATCGACAGCATGACATCGGTGTTTGACGCTGATGCTTCGCTGCATCAGCATTCAATCTAGATATCGACGCTGGAACGACGCGGCTCCAACTACAATCAGTCCACTTGCCGTCCTTAAATGAAACTCAGATACACGCGCTCGATCATCTACATACCCTGCGCGATAAACATAGATCAAGCCAAAAGGACCCGGCATGAATACAATCAAGTGGATGTCAAACTGACGATGATCTCTCTGACGCGATTCATTTAAGTACGTTGCTATTTTCGGCGAGAAACATGGAGCACTCGAAGAGAGCCTAATTTAGCATGAACACAGCAACGGCTTCCCGGTAAGTTCCACAAAAATTGCATAACATCGTATGACCTGATCTGTGCGCCCATTTGCGCAAAATCTACAAGATGTCCATCTTACCTGAGCAGCAAGCACTGAGTTTGCCGGAGTTTCATTCGCACACCCTAATTTTTTACCCCGTCCTCTGGTTGGTTTCGGTACACCAGCTGAGTCTTGAACCGATTTCGGAGTGCTAGCTATTGCCTCTAATCTTCGATTGTGTGGACTATTTTCGCATTTTTTCGAATGCAGACTCAATTTCAGCTTTTTAGCGGATGGAGGGGCAAACTGTTCCTGTTCCGTCGTTACTTCAACCTTCTCGTTGCCAGTGGGAGGGCACCGTTCTTCGAGCGCAACCCCAACTGTTTCTTCAAAGGCAATGTCACAACCATCCGGCGTACTAGAACACAGTGAGGGATAAAAAAAGACATTACGAGAAGCATAGGGTTATAAGTTTCTTCAGTGGTTCTGTGTAGATGTCATCCAGGGATAAAACGAAGTCGTCGATTTGAGATTTAAGACGAAATACATGAGAATCGCATATGACACTGGAGCGCAGGCTCAGATCCATTAATCGCGCCTTCTAAACGCCTTCAAAATATCGGCGTCAAGGTCGAATTCGATGGGTTCAAACAAAACAGCAGGCAAGTCAGGGATTCATGTGCCGACAAACAAAATCGAGGCTTTTCTCCAAGCCATCCTTTTATTTCGATAGTCCTGAGTAATTTGGAACACAGATGTTAGGGCGTTCAACATCGCTGATTAGGTTGTCACGGATTAATGAATTCACGGATTCACG